GCAGTTATCGGGAATTTTATTGCGTGAAATCAGTGGCGTCCTGTTTCCTTCACATTACCCTTGAAAAACTGATTTTTGGTGTGGGGGGGGGGGGGGGGGGGGTTGGGCCTGAACGTTTGATAGCGTTTTGTCATCGGCAGCAAGTGTATGTGTCAAGTTTCAGCTCTATAGGTTGACAGCATAAAGTGGGTCAATTAGCCGTCGGAAGATTTTTGCCAGAACCCAGACAGAAAGAAAGAAGCACGCGAAACAAAAGTCACTGTAAAGGATTTTTTTTAAAAAATAGCCTAAACGCGATTTGTGTACATTATATTGAACACAATCGTTTAAAAAGAATTTTCTTCTTTTAAATTAAACTTTAAAAAAGAACTGTGACAAACCTGCAGGCCTAAATGCTCATGTGTTGAAAGTTTAAAGATTTTAAATAATGTTAAATTATTATTATTTTTTTTAAATTTCACCCGTTCAAGTTGTGACATCACATTCCTCTGCATTTCAAGATAAATTACCTGGCCTCACAGACTCGGACGTCGTAGGTATATGGAAGCCACGCTCCGCCAAACCCAGGCCTAACAAAGTAGATGTACCCTAAACATTAAACACACAACCGAACCCTTTCATAATCCCTAACTAATCCCCCCCCCCTAATATAAACATCAGGTCATATCATTTGTATGAGCCAGATGGCATAAATGAAACAGAGTCTTGTATGAGCCAGATGGCATAAATGAAACAGAGTCTTGTATGAGCCAGATGGCATAAATGAAACAGAGTCTTGTATGAGCCAGATGGCATAAATGAAACAGAGTCAGAACGAAAACGATGAAAAACATTTTTTTTTTTTTTTTAAAACATCAACTTTTTATTTAAATGCAAAAAATAAAATTTTGAACAGTACACGTTTTGTCAAATATATCGTCTTCTCAACCAAGAGTTCATTGCAATATTTGGCCATAGGCTACAAAATAAAATTGTTCATGGTTTGTGACACAAAAAAAGGTTGTGACATTTGAATAAGTTTACATATTTGAAAGTGGTGGCCAGCTGAGGAGGACCGAGATGTATGTTAACCATTAGCATCGAGATGTATGTTAACCATAGCGTTACTGGTTTGGCTTACAGGGTATTTTGAAGCAAGTTTCAGAACTTTGGGAAATTGTCATCTCTATTGACTTATATTCAAAATATAAATACTACAGGTCTGGGAAGCAAACCGTGCTAACAAAAATGTACCATACAGCTGACTAGGTGTAAAAATAAACTGCTCAGTTGGGCTCACTGCTATCATTTTGTTTTTATACAAGGCATCAACAGAAATTCAGTGTTTCTTTAACACTTCAAAAAAAAAAAAAACAGAAAAGTAACATAATAATATATATTGCTAAACTGAGTATTATTGTATTGTAAAAAAAAAAAAAACAAAAAAGTAAAAAAAAAATATAAATTGCTAAACTGAGTATTATTGTATTGGCCATGGAAAAAAAAAAAAATTAAAAAAAGATAAACATGATCAGCTAAGGTTTAAAAAAAAAAAAAAAAAAAAGAATGTGTTATCATTGCAGTCAAGTAACAAACTAAGCTGCACATACAGGCATCAAAGATATTCTAATAATAATTATATTATATAAACAACTGTGGTACCTAACTATTCTAAAAAAGAAAAAATAAATAAATCCCAAGCACTTGAATACTTCGGAGGAACAAAAAAAATGTTTATTTTCTATACTAGGGCAAGATTACAGCTTTCTTTTTTTGGTTCTGAAGTTCCATTTGGATTTATCCATGGTTAAATATTTATTTATTTTGTTTAAGTTACTCAGAAATATTATGCTTTTAAATTTTTAAATCAGATTTTTTGACTGAACAAGGCATAATAAAATTACAAATTTCAACATGGGGAGAAAAAAAAGGGTGAAGTTCCACAATAACATTCTGAAATGAGTCACCAGAATCGTAAAGAGCTGAAGGCTTGTCCCACAATTTAAAACAATATAACCAGTACAAATGTACAACTCAAACTTAAAATAATTATGCTTCAAGTAAAGATTATTTTTTTAAAAAGAAACAACACTGGGAAGGTACACATAAATACACAGAGAAGCAGTAATGGTAAATTATTTTTTTTTAAAACATCAAAACAAGCTCCATGAAAGATTACTTACAGTATATTTAATATACCAAACAGAACAAAACAAACCTTTTTTTTTTTAATAATAGGGAATGGCGTCACATATTTTTTTGTTTAAATCATTTACAAAACCATTGAAAGACATTCAAGCAATTTTATTCCCTTAAAAAAGGTAAATCATTTAAACAAACCTCACTCTTCCTTTGATGAGCCATCACAGCACATCTCAACAGATTTCAGGCACAAACAAAAAAAAATTTGAAAAAAAAAAATTATTAATTTGATTCCATCTTTGCCAAATCCCTTTGGGAACCAATGCTTTTCTGCCATTATAACATGTACGTTTAGATTTGTGCAAGCAGAAATAATGGGAGAATTATTCCTTTGATATGTTAATTGAGTAAAGGGAGGGATGGAAGGGGAGGGGAGGTGTAGGAGGGATCAGGGTATAATACAGCTTAGACTGAACTATTTCTGCGTAATCTGGACATAGACTAGATATGACTTCAGTTAGGTCTTGTTGCAGAATTATTATATAATTAAAATGTTACGGGTAAATCAATTTATTACTAATAAAAATAAAACAAAAGGTTTATCTTTTCCAAGCCATTTTTAAAAATGATTGGTTGTAGCATAGCACAGTTGCTACTCAAATACCAAAGCATTGAAACTATATGGCTTAATTGTACAAGATGAAGTCCATTAAATAATCTTACCACATGAATTGATGACAACACTCCAAAGTCTAGAGCTATATATATATTAAAATTATCTAAAAAGTAAATCAACTTTATTGGATCTTTCTCCTAACATGAAAATCTACACTCACTAGTTTGCAGTTATTTCAGCAATTACTGACCAATGGGCAGTCATTATAACTCAAACCAGTTTGAAATGTCTTTCATGGCCGATGTATGTATTTATACAAACATAAATATAAGCAAATTAATTTTACATGGAAGACAAAATGAAACAAAAATGTGGTAAGGGTAAAAAAAAAAAAATTTAAAATAACGAAGATTTAGTAAGTAATTACTCCTGATCAACTTTTGTCCATCCATTTCAACACATAAAATGCACTTTTTTTAAAATATACATTTTTTTTTTTCCATTGGGATATACAATCTAATCCACTTATTTTTGTATTAATGTTATTGATATCTGAACATTGATAGAACATGTGCATGACACTCAAAGTGTTTAAACAGCATTTTATAATAATGCATAATTTGCATATGAACATAACAAGAAGAGAAGGCAGTTTATGATGGAGTCTGCTATAATAAATTTGTGATAGAATTTATATTTTTAAAAAAAAAATATGGCATGTAATTTAATTATTTTTTTTATTTTTTTAAACTTGAGTATAGAATTGTAGTGTAGAAAAACATTTTTTTTCTTTAACCATGACAAGGAAGTTGCATTAATGCCTTTTCTAAAATGTAAGCTAAATTGCAATTTATTTTTTTTTTTTAAATTTCCAACATAGAAACATCAAAGCCTTGTTTTAAACATCTTACCACTATAAAAAGAGAACAGAAATTATTATTATTTTTTTTAAATATAGTGTTGCAAAACTAATCTGACTGACATCGAAGATTACCGAAAACTATCAACTAAAATACTCTGCAGTATGTATTACATAATAATACTTGGTGAATAAACATGGATTCTAATATTTAACATATATGAAGATAGATCAAGTAATGATTGGTTGTAGCAACATACAGCAATTGATAATTTATCGAGTCGGAATCTTCGGCTCACGTAGGTCACCTCAAAATTTTTTTTTTACTTTAAAAAACATAATTTTCAAAAAGCATGTTTTCTTGTACAAAAATAATTTAATAAAAAGAATGTGTTATAAATACAGCATTTATAAATAGATTGAAACAGTAGAGAAGTGAGAGAGATACATCAGCAAGTCAGGTGGAGAGCTAGAAAGAGCAAGAGAGAAGAAGAGGGGGGACATAGACAGAAAGGGGGGCGCTTCAATGCAGACACTGATTCTATATTAATTTTGATTTTTTAAAGCAAATACATCTTTTAAAAAAAATCTTGTCATATCAATACCGAATCATAAAAAAAAAATGTAATATACATACAATAATATAAAAATCATTATGTATTTCAGGAAGCTATAATATTACATTGACAACACTCTAAAACATTTATTATATATTAACTTTTATTTAGCTTTGTAAGTTTGATACATAATAATTTTGCTCTTTTTTTTTTTTAAATTTGCATAAATTATGTTAATAATTAATAATGATAAATGATTAGTTTTTAAACACTGCTACAGATACATAATTAGATAAATATATATTTATTTATATATATATATATATTTGAATGTAAGAAGAGAGTTGAGTGAGGTTAAAGAAAAAAGTTGGTAGTGTTGATGAGGGACAGGAAATGTCACTTGTGACAGATGAAAACATAAGAATAGTGAACTTCAGACTTGTTAGGTTGAATAATTCCATGAGAACCTGAATCAATTATTTTTTTGGTTCAATGAGTTTAAACCAAAAAGAAATTTGACATATTTACAAGTTAAAAATAAATATTTTTTCATAATAGTTAAGACATTTAATCATATGTCAAGCAGGATAGATTATCTGTAGAGAATGAATTGAAATTTGAATAGATGAAAATACATCTGTATGATCAGATCTTTGGGCAATAAGAATAATGTCTTGATCCCTTAAACAACTGTTGTTGCTTATCTTGTTTTGTTTTTTTTTTCCCTTCAAAGATTTATTAAAATCATTTCTTCACCAGCATTTTTTTTTTTTAAATATAAAAAAAATACCAAAAAAAACCATTTGTACCTTCTTTCCATTCGATACTTAACCAAAAAAAAAAAAAACTGGGAAGAAGAAACAACTGATCATATTTATTTATTTTTTTTAAATGAGCAAAAATTACTTTATGGTTAATATATAATCTCTCATCTTTAAGTCATATTAGAAAATATAATAACATTTATGAAAAATAAAATTTTGCATAATAGAATTTGATTTATAGTTTTAATAAATTTGTGGTATCTTCTCAGCTGGAGTTAACTGAGCATGGGTTTATTGGAATGAAACAGTAAAAAAAAAAGGTTTAATAAAAATAATAATGGTAATAATAATAATAATAAAAATAATTACATTATAGATTCAAGCAAAACAATCTTGGGCGTTTCACAAAATATGAATTTTGCTTTTTCACTTAATTTTAGAAGTATTAAACAATTGATTTTTAAAAATATTATTTAAAATCCAATGGATGATATTGAGACCAAAGTAAATAAGATATGATGAGGAAATTCTTAGAAGTGAATGTTGAAAAAAAAAAAGTTTTAGTTTTAAAAAAATAATTAAAATAAATTTTTATAGATCTATATATATATATTGTTTTAAGTGATAAATATAAAATTTGGCAGACTATTTTAACTAGTAGGCCTACTAATGAAGTTGATTATGTTGATGAAAATTCTCATACAGGTATGTAAATATAAATATATATTTATATACTCCTTCAGTTATTCTGTATCAATCAGTCAAATTTATTTGTTTCGCCGACATTTATGAAAAAATATTGATGTTTTTTTTTTTTAAAAAAGCTTGTACTCCCTGCTTCCTTGTTTTGTCCATGTAAACATTCAGTGAGATTCATTGTCAATGATATTTTATAAAGAGGTTTTTTTTATACAGTTTAACACATTGCCATATAAAAAAATAAATAATACAAGGCAAAATTTGATTTTTTTTAAAACAAATAAAAGGAATTGGTAAGTACTTCTTTTTTTTTTTTCTTCTTTCTCTGAGCTAATCTTGCTCTGCAGATGTCATGAGCCATTTTTCAACTCATGAAAACAATTTCTTAAATGATACAGTTGGCATTTATCAAAATAATTAAAATTACAAAATTTAAAAATTAAATAAAAAAAAAAAAAAAAAAAATAAATTTTTTTCTTCTTTCTCTGAGCTAATCTTGCTCTGCAGATGTCATGAGCCATTTTTCAACTAATGAAAACAGTTTCTTAAATGATACAGTTGGCATTTGTCAAAATAATTAACATTGCAAAATTTCAAAATTCAATAAAAAAAAAAAAAAAGAAAATAAACTTAGTTTAAGCTGTAAAGGTTTATATCCCTCAACAAGCATCTGTTAGCAATGGAATATTTCATGCTTTTTAAATAGCCAAAGCCAAGAGAAACCTTAGACATACACCAAAGACTTTTAAAAGAGTATATATAAATTCTAAAACCCTTTGCGAATTCTACACCTTTAGATTAGTTTTGTGTGTGTTTCAAGTCAGGCAGTTACACCCCATGGCCACCAACCATCCATCCTGGTGTCACCAGCCTATTACATAAACAGGTTTCTGTGACCTTTAACAACGTCCTAAGCACCCCGAAGGAATTTCATCATTAAGGTTTCATTAACGAAAAGCGTGAAAAGAAAATTAACCTTTTTTTATTTGTTAAGACAAAAATTTTGGGATAAAACAACATATCAAAACAAAGAACAAAAAAAAATTCTTTTTAAAATATTTGAATTTTAAAAAACATTTTGAAAAGAAAAAAATAAAAAGAAATAAATCCTTAATTTTTGGATTTCATAGCTGGATTTTCTTCTTAAAAAAATAAATTTAAAAAAAATAAAAAAAATAGCTAAATGCCTTTTAGCTAGAAATTATAACGGAAAGAATGCATACATGCATCTACTTATCAACATATTGATAAAATAGGCAGCTTATTCAGTCTATGTACATCAACTATATATATATATATATATATATGTATGTATGTATATATATATAATTATATTGGATATATACAATGTAACAATACTGGAAGCTAGGATTTGTTTCAAGAATTTATTAAATATCTATCTTTAATGTTTACTTTAAGTAACCTTTATTCACAGAATCTAGGTTTTAAATACTATTTTTGTTACATAATAATTTTTCATAAATATTCTAGACTCTAACAGTCTCTTGACATGGGTATAAACTTGAGAGTTTAAAAATATCATAAAGATTTCTTCTGCCTTGTTCAACGGGGCCATGGGCTCAAAATAAACAAGATATTCTCTCCCTGTACAATTTTTATTTAATTATTTTAAAATTAAAAATCAGACACTTGTAATACTTTGAAAAAATTGATAGAAATACTCCAATAAAAATGTTAACCTTCCTACAGACTAATATATAGGGCTAGTTATAAAAAAAAACAATCTTAATCCCCGTGAACAACCTTACAGACTACTCAAGCCCTGATGCGGAGGACATCCGCAGCGGGATCCTTACAGACGGGACATTTCCTGTCACCGTCCATCGGCTTGTTGACAATACCTTCAGCACATTCCATGCAGAAGAGGTTGTGACCACAGGGCACAAGTGCTGCCACTACTTCGGCTTCCTCGCAAACTTTACATAATCTTGGTGTGGGAGAACCTTGTGATCCCGACGCCTCACTCAGAGAACAACTCTTGCTAGTAGGACTCGAGTTGCCGCTGGGGAAGCCATTCAACTGTCCAGAAAACAGACCTGAATCGCCAAGGCCGCTTTGGAAGGATCCCAAAGAATTGCAGTTTAGATGGCCAGGGAAGCCACCTCGGTCTTCGTACGCTCCACTTTTGAGCCCACCGACGCCTTCATTACTGCTCATCAGGCTCATACTCAGGCTAGAAGTGACATTACTGCTCGACTGGAATAAGTTGCCCAGCACCAGGCTACCTTTGGTGGAGGTGGACGAGGCCGTCGACAAGAAGTTCGGGAAAGCATCCGCGGTATCGTTCATGCTCCTCATGGATGGGCTGCTCAGAGACCCCCCAAAAGGGTTGCACAGGCTGTAGCTGGAAAAGGGGCAGTCGTTTAAGTAATCTTGAGGCGGTGAAATGCTGGCAGAGCTGTTGGAAGATGACGGGATGCTACCCAGGGACATGCTGTACTGAAAGTTGTTGCCGCTCCTTAGAGAGTTCGCGATGTTGTTGGACCCGGAAATCCCGGAAATGCCCGTGCCCGGCATGGGCGAGTAATCAGAAGTTGCATTGCTCCAAGTTGTGATCGGCCCATTCTGAGGCTGCTGATCAATCAAGCTGCTGTATCCACGCCAGTTGTAGTTCCCGTTCGTTGGTGGGCTCACTGACGAAAACGAAAATCCCGTGCCGTTTCCGTTTGACGAGTTTCCGTTAGGTAGGCTCCCTTTGCTGCTGAAGTTGCTGTTGAGGGACATGTTGCTGGAGCCGTTTCCGTTCTGAAGTAGTGCGTCATTGCTGTAGTATGAGTAGTCGTTACCGTTGTGTTTCAGATCATCATTCCAGTTCGCCGGCAGGTTGGTGGTGTCCTGAAGCCGGCAGTGTCGTGTGCGGGTTTCGATGTGTCGCAGTATCATCATTTTAGCCCTCTCCACGTTCTCGGGCTGGCCTCTGATCTCGAAGATGGGAGCCTTGTCCCTGTTGGGCGTCACGATGAACGTATCCGTGTCCTGCTGAATGGCCTTGATGGTTTGTCCTTTGAGCCCCACGACCAGGCCCACAACCCTGTAAGGCACGGTGACCTGTATCATGACGTCGCCTTCGCGGCTCACCGGTTTGGTGGCGTCGAGGCCGCCGGCGGTTTTGTGGTGGTTGCGAGAGGCACGAATGTGAGTGAAGTGCTCGGCGGCACTCTGTATCTCGTCGATGACATGGAGCACCGCTTCCTCTTTGCCCGTGACCACGAACACCGGAGACTGGGTGCGCATGGGCGTCTTGATGTATGTGTTTGTCCGCGCCCTCAAATCTTTGATTTTGCATCCTGAAAGGAAACAAGAAATTGATCCCTGTCAGTTTAATAATAACGCAAGGTTTACAAACAAACACCCGATACGCCAGCAAGATTATCTTCATAGGATACAAACAAAGACCCGATACGCCAAGCAAGATTATCTTCATAGGATACAAACACCAGACACGCCAGCAAGATGACGTCTTGGGGAAAAAACAACAACAACGATGTTCCTTAAAAGTTCCGATCTGTATTATTTGAGGTTTCACACAAAATATTCGTTGAGCAGTACAATGCATTATGCCCCAGTTGCGTACGGAAAAGATGATAGTTCGCCCTGGGCGGCACTTTTTGTTCTTTATTTATAGGGGCGGCAAAAATCACGGCTCGTCCCCGGCGACACTAACCCTAGCTACGCCGGTGTTCTGCCCCCCACCCCTTTTCTCGATTTGACATGCCTCTTCTCACCCTTTCTCTCCATTTCCGCTACATTCACTGAAACTTGACCAAAAGCGTGCTCCACACGAAGTTTGCGACAATTCGATTCCCCATCTACACCTCAGCTTCCAGTAACCCCCCCCCCCCCCCCCTCCCCCCCCCCCCCCCCCCAAAAGCGTGCCCCACACGAAGTTTGCGACAATTCGATTCCCCATCTACACCTCAGCTTCCAGTAACCCCCCCCCCCCCTTTTTCCTCCCCCGGCCTCAACTTCAGAACCCGGCTTTGTTAAACAAGTGTCGAAAAATTCCTTCATTGTACAACTCTGTGCATATTAAACAAGGAGACTGCGCATGTTAAAAAAAGAGAATCAAGGCAAGATCGATAAATATCAAGCATTGTATAATTGTGCATGCTCTGGCATATCTCTTAGAGAAGGCTTTAGAAGGTCATCATTGCCCATGTCGTGGGGATGTGTGGTGGGGGGGGGGGGGAATGGGGAAAGTTTTTTTTTTTTTTTGGACCTGTCAAGGGTCATGCATATCCGAGATTTGAACCAATGGAAGTTTTGACCCCGAGCCATCGTCTCCTCCAACTATGAGTTACACGAGCTGAATAAAATTGTTGGCGCCTTTCGGAGACATCTTTACAAACAGTCCTTACTATCGCCATAAGCAGTTGTTTTTTGTTTTTTTTAATACATGGTTGCGAGTGAACAACATCCGTCATTCATTCGGATACGCCCTCGTGGGAATCTAATGACCCAATTTGTAAAGTCATCCCATTTGACCGAGAACTCGCTGAGTACACACCAACGAATTAAAATTCCTTCAATATATGCCCCACAAAATACTCTTGTTAGTAAATCTTTGCATAATCATAATTAAAACACAACGTACACTTCGATGGTGTGATGTAGCTTAATCGGATGTGCTCAAAAGCTATGAATACGTTAATACGAGTACAAGTCAGCATGCTCGTGGATTTACCCAAAGTCACCAACGAAGTGAGGTTGTTTGTTTTTTGTGTTCCACTGCCTCGTATCAATATTAGGACTTCATCAGCTTGCCAAATGAGGGCCGAAACCAGCAGAGAGGGCGTGCAGGTTGTGTGGGTACGTGTGTTTCAACACTGAACCGTCTCGTGTTAGTCGACGTTAATCTAATACGTCACACCGCTTTAAATGGGTGTGTGTGTGTGTGGTGTGGTGGTGGTCGTTTTGGTGGTTGGGGGGGGGGGGTAAATACGTGCAATGCATTTTCAAGGTAGAGAATGCAATGCATTTTCAAGGTAGAGAATGCACGGAAATAAACCAGGTCATGTTGTCGCAATGTAAAATGAAAAGGAATCACGCAGTCTTTAAGATTGTTTTTAAGTTATGAAAACAAAATTATGAATTTCTTCTCAATGTCAACGCTGAGTTGGCCTTAATTGATTAATTGCTGAGGTGGCCTCAATTGTTTGTTTGTCTCTCCACCCCCACCTCCCTTCCCTGACCCCCCTTCTTTTTAATCTTCGACATCGAGTTCGATTTTGGGAAAAAGGGGGTGGGGGTGTTAAACCCTGTTCACAAAAAAAAAAAGAAGAAAATCAGGACGAATCAACGTTGAGTTTATGTGGAAAATCGATTTTGGGAAAAAGGGGGTGGGGGTGTTAAACCCTGTTCAAAAAAAAAAAAAGAAGAAAATCAGGACGAATCAACGTTGAGTTTATGTGGAAAATCTTGCCCCCCCCCCCGCCCCCCTAAATAATGATGCTGGTGACTATTGTACATTTTAACTGTCATTGCGTGTACTAGCACAAGTTGTACAATGTAATTGTCATAGCGTGTACTAGCACAAGTTGTACAATGTAATTGTCCTAGCGTCTACTAATACAAGTTGTACAATGTAATTATAGCGTGTACTAAACACAAGTTGTACAATGTAATTGTTATAGCGTGTACTAATACAAGTTATACAATGTAATTATAGCGTGTACTAAACACAAGTTGTACAATGTAATTGTCATAGCGTGTACTAGCACAAGCTGTACAATGTAATTGTCATAGCGTGTACTAGCACAAGCTGTACAATGTAATTGTCATAGCGTGTAAACCGTGCATTAGTGTTGTACAAATGGTCCGCGGCTTTCCTTCTAGCCGTGCTGACCTGGTCCATGGCGGTCAATAAGATTCAACGAGGATTGATTCAAAGTAGTCACATCCTCGGTTACTAAAACTCGGGGGGGGGGGGGGGGGGGGG